AGAAAGAAAAATGCTCTCTGCTGGTTAAGACAACCATCTGCATCACCAACAATATTACGAGGACTCTAGTAAGAGTCTTCAATTAAATTATCATAGATCAGCAGCTTTCATTTCATTAATTGGGAAGCAGATGTTTCTTAAGAATAGTTATTACAAGATCAACTTAAATTAATATTGCATTTCTTACCGAGGTTCGCTTAGACAGCAGCAAAAATAAAAATATCTGCATAACAAGTGTTAACAAGCAGCAACTTACGGTGTGCTAGTTTATGCATTCAATTTAATGTCAAAATGTTGTAGCACACATTTGATAAATACTATTTTCATCATTATTTAATTCAGAGCTCCAACTCTGCTTTTATAGGCATCCTTTTAGACCTCTTCATTAGTTTTTATGCTACAGCTAGTAGCAGCATTACTCCTATATCAGGATTTCTGATATGGGCTGCATGATTCCTAAAAACTGTTTTTTTCAGTAATACCCAAAAGCGATCATTACTTCATTATTAAAATTGCACAGTCAAAGTACTTGGTAACAGAAAAGTTTGAAGGCTCTTTTGCACTATTGAAAGTGGGAAAAAAAGGAAAAAGGGCAGAATATACTAAAATACTCACTGTTGTGTTCATGATGCCTGTTCCATGAGTTCGAATTGAATTGGCAATATGTCGGATATTGATAGTGTTCAAGTGTTTGTTATTACTAGTTCTTTCAATGAATATCTAGGAATAGAAAAAGAAAAAAAATTATTTACCCAAAATGGACCCAAAAAGAAAAAGAAGACTAGGCATATGAACTCTATCGTATACAACCCTCCAACCTCTGATGATTTAACGTTCTAAAGAAGTCACTTCATCCAAACTCTCGTGTTTGAGCCCATCCTTCATTAATTGGTCTAATTTCTTTTAGTCCCACTAAATTAAATGTTACTAGAGAAAGTATTTCCATTTCTTTCAGCTGCTCAGTTTCAGACAGGGCAACTCACACTTAATCTACAGGGGATTATTCATGTTCTCCATATCATGAATAACTTCAAGTCTCTTACAATCCCTCCTCACATATTCTTTTTTCAAGATGAAAAATAATGTATGCATAATATGCCCTTAAATAGCAGCCAGTCATCCTTGCTACCTCCTCCTCTTCTAGCTTCAATGTAATATTTGAGAGGGGGTGATCCTACAATATGAAACTACGTTCACAGAATATTCTCAAAAATTATCTATAGTGTCCCCGAAGTGTTTTTCCAGAGCTGTAACAGCCACTGTACAACTCATCACTAAGCATATTCAGCTGGGGTCACAGTCTTAAATGTATCTACTTTTCACTGCTCAAAGCCTTCAAACTAGAGCCAAACTCAGAAAGGACAAAATATACTTTACCTGATTATTCAGATTGTAGAGGTAGCGAGACACAAAAACATGAATATTTCTCATGATTTCCAAAACATCCAGACCCTGAAACAATATTACCTATTGAGAAACTTCATCAAAAACATCATAGTTTTTCTCGGTAACTACTGAGATGCGTAACTGCCATTTTTATAATTCCTTGAAAACATTCGGGGAATCAGTATTTTCCCTCTTCAACATTAAAAACAATTCTATACAATTTCTGTTCAGTGGTTATAAGTCGTCACTTAGAAGAACAAGAAAAAGTAGCTAAGCTCACATATTCAATTTACACTTCTGCCTTTAACTTTTCCTAAAAGCAAGGGATCGAGTCTATCTGCCAAGTGGGAAAAAATACGATAAATCAGGCTCTTCTCATATAGCTATTTTTTGGTATTGTTTTCCTCATTCTGTTTAGAACACTGAAATTTTCTATTTGCAATACAAGTTTGACAGTTCCTTTGCTCGATAAGCTGCTGAAGGATTCCTTTTGGTATCAACAGGCATACAGAAGATGTTATTTAATCTAAAGACTCCATTTCCAATCAAGTCAAAGACTTTACAGGATTTTTCTGGTTTTGTTTTCTTTGTTACCTTAGGTAAAGCTCATGGTGGGACAAAGTTATGAAAACAATATTTTGGAAAAAAAAAACCCTCTACAACACAAATCTGATGTCCAAACATTGCCAATAGTAAGCCAAAGGCAAAATAAGATAAACTGCAAGGAACTGCACTTTGTTTCAATATGGAGAGAAGTAACCAGAGTTTTGGTTTTTCTCTCTCTTCCAACCTCAGAAAAAACAGCCTCTGGCAATATGAAAAAGGGAAGCTGTATAAAGGAAAGCAATATATCTCTAAACTCTTTGAAGAAAAATCACTATAAATACATAAATTATACTTCTTTTGAACCCACTTAGCAAATAACTTGGCCATTTAACTTGACGAAACAATAACTTTATTCTATAGGTAACCATGATTAGGAGTTTCTAAGAGGCTCTAGGTCACTCTCCCCATAAGCTAAATAAAGACGTCTTAATTCTGTAATTGCCCGGCCCATAAAACATGGCCCCTCTTAGTGACTGCTAGGCAGAACCTTCTGAGAAGCAGGCAATGAAGTAGGGAAAATAATAAATGCAGTGTTAGAAACCAGAGATTTCACAAATGCAATATGAAATTAACTGATATTAAACCAACATTGGTTCTAAATATTTTCAAAGAAATGCAAGGCCTCTGTCTCAGAAGTCAACGAGAAATTAGACACTGTTTTTTCCCCCTATCCTCCAAACAGCTCTCCAAATCTCATTTTAACTGAAAAGCTATCTAGGATAACAATGCAATACCACAAATTATATTCACATCCTATGGATACTGCACCTGTTCCAGAGTCTGGCTGGGAAGATGTGCTTCAGTCATACTTAAGCCATACCGCTGAGTTGCTAGGTTTCTCATTTCACTATAGGTAGCCCAGTCATGAAGAGCTACAGTTGTTAAGTTGTAGAAGGTCTTGTCCAAATAGTGTGTCACGTAAGCTGTAAACACATGAGAAGATTAACTAAAACTGCCATACATATGTAGAAAATACGGAGAAAAAAAGTAAAAAGATACACTAAAACCAAACTACATGAAAGAGAAAATAATGGTATCAACAAAACATATTAAAACTCACCTTTTATGTCAATGAAGCGATTGAAAAAACGTATTGGGTTCAGAAAGAAGAAGTGAGCTAGATCCTTCATGCCAACCCTGAAGGGATTTCTGTCATCAAGTTTTAGGTGTGTATGAACTGATAGGCGTAGGTCTTTTTCTATCTCTTTACATAATTTGTCCAGCAGGTGCTATTTAGGGAGGTTTGAAAAACAGAATCAAAAAGATTGTCAGGGTCCATTTGCAATGTTCTGTTACCAGAACTAACATCTCTGCACTGCATAAAACCACTGTATAAAAGACTGATTAAACAGTGAAGACCATTTTGCCACAGCAGGGATACACAAGACAAAGTGAAATACCACTTACAAACCAAAAGGATTTAATTCCTATGATTCTGTTCTAGAACACAATAGCAAGAAAAAGTTATACAGCTCAGAAAAGGTCATGCTGTAGCCATCTAACTCCATTCTATACACGGATAAAACACTTCTACATAAGAGTTTAACACAATCCAAATTTAATCTTCTCACTTTCATCTTAAGGAGAACCAAGCTTATGGCTATTGATCTGGAGAAATCCTTCCAAATATGCATCCTGAAAAGATTTCACTTATGAAGTACTTTAATGTAGCACAAGAGGTGCATTATGATCTTTTAACTAAGACCGGACGAGTTTAGGAACTGCTCAAGGCAATAAAAGATGCTTAGCACTCAACAAGCAAAGTCTGTCCAAATCCTTCCTCACAAAAGCAACGAACATGAACGACCTGAATAAGTCTTGTAAAGAGATTTGTCATGAAAACACAGTTTTATGTTTATATTTGACATCAGCAAAATACAAATCATATTTTGCAAAGCAAAACAGCAAAGCACAGATAGAAATGACACTACGATAACAGCAAGGTAGAAGGAAGCTGTTCTCTCCCAAACCCCTTGAGCCTATTTCAGGGTCAACAGGCCGAGAACTCTTTCTTTGCCTGTGTTTGTAAGGTATACTTGCACTCCTTATAAACCCTAATTCTCATATATGGAGCAGGTTTCCAACAAAACAACAGAAAAGCTTTGCAATATGTCATTTGGCCTCACTTCCAGCAGAATATTAGTTTTTGAACTAGTCCAAATAAAATTGTTCAGCAGTTTGAGTCCTAGGGCTAAGGAAAAGGTGAATTCACATTTTCACTCTGTCAAGTATCCTATTTATGCAACAGCCCTCTAAAGAGGCTGTTTACATAGTCTCCACTAGAAAAACACACACATATATAAACCCAACAACGTTCTGCAGTCATACAAACAGAAATGCACTGTACAGAATTCTTGCCAGCCTATTTAACATAATTCAGAGTACAGCATTTTCATGCCCCTAACCAATATAAATACCATTAATAATTTTTATAGACTGTATCAAGTTCAGTAACACAGATGTGGGCCTAAATGATATTTTAAACATACTGTTGCCTTTAATTCTGATTCACAATAAATTACCTCATTGAGCACTTCCATGATTTCTTTGTCATAGCATTCCAGAAGGACCTCATAAGATTCCAAGTGTCTTGCATGCATCATGGCAGGTACACAGTCCCGTAGTGCACTAAACATATACTGAAAAACAACCATTATGCTTAACCAACAGACCAGCAGGCAACTCGACAACAGCAACAACATTCAAAGCTGACTTAAATCAAAACCTCTCGCCTTCCATCTTTAACAAAAACAAGCCTCATAATTCCAACTAAAGTTCCCTCCAACAGATTAGCAGGCAACTCATCAACAGCATCTCAAACGACATTCAAAGCTGACTTAAATCAAAACTTCTCACCTTCCATCTTTAATAAAAATATGCCTCATAATTCCAACTAAAGTTCCCTTTTCCTCAATCTGAGGTTTTCAGTTGTCACTGGTTAACAGAAAGGTCATACCTGCTGACAATTCCACCTTAGGCAACTTCCACTGGCAGTATTTTAATGCCACAATTAACCATGGCATGCACAATACTGGATCAGATAATAGATTCTAGCAGGACAAGCATGCCAACGTGTGATTCATTTTTTTGCAGCAAAAATTTATTGCTTCAAAAGGTGGGGGGAGAAAGGGGAGAAGACCAGGACAACTGCCTCAGGCAGCATCACTGAACACAACAGGAAGTGCTTTAGATGCATCTAAACCAGACTGTGGGACAAAAAGCTTATGTCAAAGTTCATCATTCGGTGCCCCCTTCCCATTAGAACAAACAAATAAGAGAGGAACAAGAAGTGTGAAACACAGACTTAACTCAAGAGTATTAGAGAAATCTGAAAGATAGACTTTTGTTGGACTCGCTCAAATGTGTGCCTAATTTGTAGCTACTCTTCCTGGGCATGTTCTTTTTGACTGAATATTTTTCTTGAAGAGTTTCAGTCTAAGCTCTGTCCTCCTTCTGCCATTCCTCCCATTACAGCATCTTGTTAAGCTACGTTACTCACACTGTTACTTACATGCAGTCTAGCAGAATCAACAGCATTTTCATACACGTCATCTAAGTAGATCGGAAAGACTGCTCGATGCCAGTATAAGAAACAACAGTCACATTGTGCTCGAACTCTGGAATACAAGATCACTACTTAGACACAGAAGTCATTCTTCATAGAATCATAGAATCGCAGAAATGATTAAGATTGGAAGGGACCTCTAGAGGTCATCTAGTCCAACCCCCCTGCACACGCAGGGTCACCTAGAGCACGTGGCACAGGACTGCATCCAAGCGGGCTTTGAAGATCTCTAGAGAAAGAGACTCCACAACCTCTCTGGGCAGCCTGTTCCAGTGCTCTGTCACCCTCACCATCAAGAAATTTTTCCTTAAGTTCTTGTGGAACTTTTGGTGTTTCAGTTTGTAGCCGTTTCCTCTAGTTCTGTCGGTGGCCACCAGTGAAAAGAGGCCAGCACCATCCTCCTCACTGCCTCCCTTGAGGTACTTATAGACGCTGATCAGATCCCCTCTCAGCCTTCTCTTCTCCAGGCTGAACAGGCCCAGCTCCCTCAGCCTCTCTTCATAGGGCAGATGTTCCAGGCCCCTGATCATCCTTGTGGCCCTGCGCTGGACTCTCCCCAGCAGCTCCACATCCCTCTTGTACTGTCCTTTAAGAGAAAGTTAAGGTTCCACTGGCTTATTTACAAAATAAACAGTACATCTGCTTTAGAAAGTGTTAACTCAGCCTCTGAAAGAATTGAGCCTTATGCTACTATAATATCCTAAGTAATTCTCCTGATCTCAGCTATCATATTGATCTAACCTAACTTCAATAGCATAAAAGTCAAGCATATATTCTAGCTTTCTGTCATTAAGAGAGAAATGGGGAACACTTCCTCACAAAGGAATGAGGGCTTTATCACAGCCCACATGGAGCAGTTGGTCCATCCTGGGATATGTCATGTGCTTAAGGTTTTTGTCTTTCTTCATGGAATATGCAGGTATCCCAGGGATTCGCCTGGCTTTTCAGATGGCTGATGTTACACAAAGTGAGTAAAACTACAGTGGTAATAAAACCTGGTGTCACATATGGACTGACAGCCTCCTCTTCCAAACTGACCAGTATCATCTCATAACCGATCTTGACAGAAGCAACACAAGGCCACAAGTAGCTGTAGCAAATTTCAAGTTTTAAGAATAGACCGTTTAACTTCGCCTCATGGCCAAAGTAACAGTAGCTTTGTAAGCTATCAGCTTCTATGCATAACTGCATTCACAGTAATATTTATGAGTAAGTGTCATGACACCTCACAGGTGATTATCAAGGTTCGGTACAAGGGAAGACTGTCCTTTAGCAGAGAGCCTAGTTATCTACACGTCCCAGGAGGTGACAAAATCTAAAAACACTATGAAGAGTGCATTACTTAAATGCTGGCAGTTAGAGTAGAATGTGATTTGCATTTCCTGACTAAAGATTAGCGACTAGAGGCTTAGTTGTAGAATTGTATCCTTTTCTGTCCATCTCTGGTCTACAATATGTGCAAGTATCACCACCAGCATGCAGCTGCCAGCTTTTTTAATTTGCATCCTCAAGATCCAGCTCCCCCAAACACACTACGCTGCCTCCTACACATCACATGCTGCTACTTACCGCTCCACAAGCTCACTGATCAAGTCTAGTTTTTTCAGAACTAACTGAAGGGGAAGGAGCTCTTCATCTTTAAAGGTTTTCTGTGTAAAAGAGACAAAAGAACAAGATACTCAATAAGATGTTGCATGTAACTAAGTGAAGGTTTGGAGCAACCCTGACAGCACTTACCATCTGCGTGCCCACACTCAACGCAAGGGAAACTATGAGTCGCCTCTGTTTCGTACTTGGTCCATTGAGGGTGTTCTCAGCTAACACCAAAGCAGAGAGAACATCCAGGCGTTGCTCGCTGTACTTCTTATCAGAAATGACTCTTTTCTTGATGATAGAAAGACATAGAAATTTGGAGAAAAGTTATGTAAGCTAAAAAGCAAAAAGTTTATTTCTTCCTCTCAAGATTTATAGACTTGCCACAACACAGTATTTCTGCAAACAAAATAGGTTTCATGAATGGAGCTAACTGAATCTAGATTCACCTCTTCTGTCAATTCAGTGGTATATTTTTATATAAACTTGGAATATCTGTTATTCAGCAAGATAGATCAGGTCATAGCATATAAAAACTGCGTAAATTACATGTGATTCCATGATAATTTCTATTGGTTCTAGCTCTATGATACCTGCAACTTAAAAATGAGGTGGTAAGAATGACTACTTGTGATTTCTTATGAATTGTAGTTTACAGGATATACTAAATGCAAAAACAGTTACAGGAACAACCAAGAGGAACTGGATCCTTTGTCTAAGAAGTTCCTCTGAAAGAGGTATTTGCAAATAGCACCATAGTTCAGAAGAGACACAGTATCAAGTATCACAGACGAAGTAACAGAAAGAAATCCTCTTCAATTTTAAGAAAGTATGCCCATGTGAAAACCCTACTCGTTAATGATAAAGCTATGTTGGATATATGCTTTAGAAATTACATCATTTAGAAATGTGATTAGCAAAGGACAAAGCACAGCACATAACATCAGTGAGATTAGCACTAATGACCTCTATTTACCAGCCCTGCCTCTTACTCATCTTCAAACGTCCAGATCAGTTCCAAAATAACCTCCTTCATTTTTCTCCCCTTGATATCCACTCAGTACACAAGTATCAGCATATTTCTATCCATTTAAAAGCACTACTTACAAGATTCATTATTAGAATTTGGGCTACCTACCTTGGCTATAGAAATAGAGTGAAGAGCCTGGTACTGCAGATGCTGGGTGATGTGTGTCACCGAGTCTGCCACAACCATACTTCTTCGGTAAAACATGTGTTCTATTGCCTGAAGTGAAAGCCATGAGCACAGTAAGTCATGCAGTTCTGGAAAGCACTGCCTTTACAATTTATTTTTATGCTGCTGACTCACCCATGCTGCAAACACAGAGTTTATCTCCAAAAAAAATGTACTATTATTGCAACTACAATTAACACTCAGCACCTGAAAAATGTCTAATTATTGAGCAGTGTAAAAAGAGATAAGTGTATATTATTTTTCTTTTTTTTTTAATTGATAACCCAGCTCTGTTCTACATAAACTTGGGAAGCCATCTTCAAAAGAATGCTGGAGGAAGCTGATTAGAAAATCAGTTATGGTCTCCCAAATGTTATTTTTCTCCAACCAAATCCAGTCTTGAAGTAGAAGCCATGTAAAAACACTTCCCCACTCAATTTTTGTAACATGTGGTAATTGACTAAAGTTCTCTGTAAATGCCTAAATGAAACAAACCATCTGATTCAGTAACCTACCTTGAGAAGTTCCACAAGTCTGCACAGAGCTTTCACCGAGGTTTTGGTCATAGGTTTTTGCATTGACATGTAGAGATTCATTGTGGTCTTAATGATAGTGCTAAGACTATATGCGTAAAGAAAACCCTAAAAGTCAAAAGGGGGGTCAGGAAGAGAATAAATGAATACTTTCACAGCACAACAATCAAATAAATCCTCTCTGCTTTCTTTCATACAGGACAGACAACTAACTTTTGCCTCTCCACACTAAAGCCCCCCAGCACCCTTCCACCTCATAAGCAAGCTTGGGTTTTCCTATAAAGCTGAATAGGACCTTTCCATTAGGCATATTATGAACTTGCCTAAGATTCACGAAACCACTTTAGTCATTAACTTGAAGGTCATTAACCTTTCCTAGGGCTATACAAATTCACCATAAGTCAATGAATTAATCACACTACCTCAAGGACTAATCATTTTAGATCTACTGTAAATCAAGAAAAAAAAATATAGCCTACCACAAACATGGGTTAAAATTTACAGATTCTAAGAAATCTGTAAACTGACACTATTAACAGTGTTCCACACTTTCTAAATGGAACTGTTCATTCCACAATAAAAGAAAAGCTATACAAATTCACCATAAGTCAATGAATTAATCACACTACCTCAAGGACTAATCATTTTAGACCTACTGTAAATCAAGAAAAAAAAACATAGCCTACCACAAACATCGGTTAAAATTTACAGATTCTAAACTGACACTATTTACAGTGTTCCACATTGTCTAAATAGAACTGTTCATTCCACAATAAAAGAAAAGGAACAGTGTCTACAGTAATGTTTTTCAGAGTTTCCTAAGCTTTTAAAATAAATTATTGACTACATACAGCAAAATTAAAATACCGTCCATACCATTATTTCAAAGGAAATAGCTACAGTTTAAAAAAAAGAGATAAAAATACAGCAAGTGGTCTATGCAATTGAATTCCTTAAACACAAAATCTACACAAGTCCATCACAAATAATAAAAGAGGAAAAAAAAAGAAGGGAAAAAAAAGCACATCCTAGTATGCATATGTTCTTAGATACTTAAGATCCCAGATGATATTTTTATTACATAACTATTTTTATCAGTTCTCTGTTAAGACGACTTAAACTTAAACTTAACAACTTATCAAAACTTTATTAATTCAGCAAAACAATTCAGAAATAGGATGCATCTCACAGTAAGAAGACATACAGTTAACAAGACAAAAGGAAACCAGCTGCCTCAGAATGAAGTTAGATTCTTGCAAAGTACTAACAACAGCCAAAGCACGACAATACAATACAAATATTTTTATTGGAAGCATAAACCCTGTTAACTATGATTAAATTAGGAACTGGTTCAAAATCTTTTAATACCTCATTACTAACATAAAAGACAAGTAAAAAAAAAAATCACACAAAGTCAAAAGAAGGAACCAGAAGTTTAGCAGTTGAGTATTCAGTCCCATTTACTTTCTCCACAGGCTTTATGGGAGTACCTTTTACAGAATTATTAAGAGCAGTATCTACTGGGCATTTAAAGTTTCCGTCTTGTAGAATAACATACAGATGATCATGCAACTTCCGTGACTTGTTTTAATGTTTAACTTGCACAAAAACATGAACTTTTGTACTTGAGCTAGCACCACAATAAAAGACTGCACACCTGAATGAAGACATTGCAGCGGTGAGAAAGATCTTCAGCAAACTTATCCATACGTTGCTCCTTCGACAATATAGATTCCATTTTTGTCATCCAGGAGCTCACAAAGACATAATACGACTGCATATCTCTGCAGAGGGAAACAAAGCAGGGGGCTCACTTCAAATAAGATGATGATCTCTTTCCAAAGTTTAAATGCTTCCAAAGAAAAATGCATACACATATTATGTTTTATATATTTTTTATGAGAAAGTGTTAAGTCTCCAAAGTAAAAGCTCACTCTATTTCCCAAAGTATCAAAACTACATACACTCATTTAAATTTTGCTTCTCTAGAGGTAAGGATTAATCTGTCATTTATATCTGTACATGCATAACCCAAGGTACAAGGTACAAAATTATAATTTGTGGAACTTACTCTTTCAAGAGAACAAAAGGCCTTCTTGGCAATACACATACACTTTAAAATTAAAACAGTAAATAAAGCTGCTAGAAAGTGCTTTTAAACACTAGATAAATATGACGTATATCAATTGCTATTTTTTTTTCCCCACTGAAGTTTGAACTGGTTCATATCCTATGTCCACAGGAAGAGGCAGATCAGTAAAAGAAAACAGGGCAGGTACTGAAAATAACTTGCAAGAGGATCATATCAGCAGTGATTACCCCTTTTTTGCAACTCAGTTCTGCCAGCTTGCAAATGAGTTGGAAGACAGCTGAGCAGAACCTGAGGAGAACCTGTAAAATTTAAGCATTTACTTTTCATCCCCGGACCATTTTCCACCTTCTTGTTTTGGCTTGCAAGACGAACAGAAACCTTAAGCCGTGTTATCTCCCCATAAAGAGGGTCATCATCATCATAAGGCTGACAACTCAAAAAATAAAGTAAAAGCCAACTTACACAGATTTTGGAAAGAATTTTGGAAAGAATTTAGGGAAATAAATTATACGCAGTATAATTAATGCAAGTACCACTGAAGGGAACCCCCCCTGCAGGCTAGTCAACCTACTCTACTAAAGATCTACTCTCCATAAACAGGCTGAAAACAGGGAAATCTATGGAAAAATACAGCAGCTAAGGTTAATAGACAATAGTTAAAATAGTAAATTAGAAGTGCTGAAATAGAAACAACTGAAACAATAGAACACTTAGAACTCCTAGGAACTTTGTGATTTCAGTATACAAAAAAAAAGGAATTTCTGAAAGCACAATACGAAAATCCCTTGTCTGAGAGTGGCACATTTTCAACAGCACTATGACACACCTAATGCTGTGAATAGCACTACACAACATGTTGGTGCAACAAACAAATACAACCACCCAGTTATAAACTATTCACTGAAAAGCACAACGAAACCATATTTAGCAAGCGTACTTGGTGAGTGACTGCGCCTTTTGCTGTAGAAAATTCTCCCTCTGCATTTTAACTGCATGAATACTTTTCTTGTCCAGAAGTTTTGCAGCAGCTGGTATCTTCTGAACCAGAAAGTTATCAGCAAACCATATAATGTTAGCAGTTAATGTGATGGCTGGTACCTGGAATGAAAAAGGGGAAAAAAAAAAAAAAAAGGAAAAAAAAGCACTCTGAAGTAGCTGCAAGTCTAAGTAATTACAACAAACAACAAGCCACCATGTACAGGATCAGACTATATTTAACAAATATGTTTTTACATTCTTTTTTTAACTGTATTAGGTAGTTCCATTTATTTATGCATATATTTAGTTTACATAGCAAAGGTCAGCCCCCCAAATAATTTGTTCAGTCCCACAACACTCAAATCTATAAACTTTGGTTTTAATCTCACTGCCACATTGGTCTTGAGAAGAAACATTATAGTGGAAATTTCAAGCCATTTTAATTTGCTGGCAACTAAATCTAAAATGAAGAGAGGGGAGGGATTATAATGAAGAAGAAAAATAAGTCTGTTCCCTGAAACTTTTCAGTAACTTGTGCCTTCTTGCTCCAAGTCTTAGCTATGCTACATTTTAAGAGAATAAAATTATCTATGAGATTATTGATGTTATCTATGTGATTATTTATGACTTTTTTTTCCTCTTAATTACTGACAGCAGAGTAAAGCACTCACCTTTTTGCAGACATCTAACAGGGACTTGTAAAATTTCTTGTCTATGGTGCGAAAAATCTGAAAATGCAACACAAAGAGGCCACAGATTCCTACATATTTATCCCTCTGGTCTATTTCCGAAGGTTCACCTGCAGGAACACAAGCGCAAAAAAACCAACATTTTGGGATTTTCATCCCAGATAACCAATATAAAAACTTCTAGAAGCAATGGGCTTCGCTCAGAAGCATGAGCAGGTATTACCAAGTTTAGGTTCGACGGTTGCAAAAATTGTGCGCACAGTATGAGCAAATTCTTCAGCAAACGTGCTGTTCTTTGACACGGACACACCACCATTTATGGAATCAAACTGTTGTTCTATACAGCCCTGAGCAAAAAGAAAACAGGATGCATTTATAATGTTAATGCCATGTATGCTAGACCTCAAAGAATACTGATTTTGGAAGAGAGAACAATGATCTATATCGTACATCATAAATCTGAACGTATACTCTTAAGTTAAACATAACTAAAAATCAAGATTTTGTGAAATTTCATGTTTTCAGCCTGGTTACTATGCTAAATAAAAACCTCTCCTATCTCTAGCATACAAATAACCATCCTATCTATTTATTTAACATTTCTGTTAAGAAATATTTTTAAAGAGAACATATAATGCCTTAATGAGAAACTAGATGGAAAATTATTTTTCCATATTATAATGCATTATCCACTAAGTAAGCAAGATTAAATGCAAGCAATTTCTCACAAAGTCGTAACATAGAAACCTGACAGCCTTTTCCTTTTTTAGTCTTCCAAAAACACATATGCCTCCTTATGTTCTTGATTTGATTTTTATTTCCTATAATCCCATTAAATATTTTGGTAAAATATTCAAAAAATATTTCAAGTACTTATGTTTTCATTAGGAAGGGGGGGGGAAAAGTTCCTTGAAGGAATGCCAGACAAATCTTACTAATATCTCAAACGCAGCATGAAGTCTTTACATTAATGCAACATTGGAGAAAGTCAAGATGGTAGTTGTTGCTGGTAATCTTTAAAACGAAAGACAAAATGGCATTTAATGATTTATGTACAATTTCTCTTCTGGAGACCGTTCCAGAAGAAAACCTTCTCCTACCCATGCCAGATGTAACAGAAAGGCTGAAATAACAACCCTGTTCAAGCATCTCTGCAGTAACCAGATTCAGCAGTGTTGTTCACTATGCCCAACACCATCACATCCAATTTCAGTCTCAGGTACAGACACTTTTCTAGAAAAATGGTTCTTCTATGAACACACACTTAAACATTGCTCTATCCTGAACAACCTCAGAAGTTAAAATACTGTCAGGAGGTCAAAACCCTTTTAAACAGCATTCTAGAAATGGTCTCATCTAGTATCGTTTCTCCTGGCATTTGGAAATAGCTTTTTCTTTACCTGAAATATCATTCCATCCAATAACTGGCATTCCAGTTTTAACAGCAACTTTTCAAATGGTTTCAGTTTATCTTCTTGAATCCCAAACTTAGAAGGGTTGTGATGAACAGATTTCAGCAGTCTGTGAGGGGGGAGGATGAGTGACCACACAAACAAAATGATTAGAATATGCTAACAGTCTTTCATCCTGCCTTGTTTTGATGAATTTTCCATTCTGTGAAACACATAATCTACTGCCTTCATCTGTGCCCAACAGCAGCTCCAAAATTAACCATTTCCCAATCCCCAAAGCACACTAGCATGTAGGTACCTCCTATCTACTGACTTTTTCAATGAAACAGTCATTTCCCATCGATTTAACTACTATATAATTATTGATTCTTCAAAGGGGGTTCTCACGGAGAGGGGGAGGCATATTTGCATCTCATATGATGTGGGATTATTTTTCACACCTTCAGAGACACACCTCTTGTACATGGTCCAGTGATCTTTGAGAGTGGCATGATTGTCAATTATTTCATCCAGGGTGATTAATACTGTCAGCAATTCCCCCAGGTGCTCATACATTGTCTGTTAAAAAACAAACTGTAGTTATTAAGCAATTTATTTCAACGGAGCATGACAGATAATATTTCAGTTTACTTCAACGTTACACCAGCCAGTAAGAGTTAAATCAGAGGTTTTTTATTTTGGTAACTTAAAAATCAAGTAATTTCTGAAGTGACACATGGAACAGAAGCTTACACACAGTCCCACTTTAAGTTCATTAATCTAACTTGGCAGTGAAAGTGTCTCTGCATGCACAAGAACATGCTGCATACAGTATTGGCACATACCAATTCTTAAACTAGGAAAGCTAGAGTCTGACACACATGCAGGTACCAACCCTTTCCGCATAAAGGACAAAAAAAAAATAAAGCTGATTAACAAAGTAAAGCCCTTAAACAAGACCCCAGATTGAAAGCTGTACTTGAAATTCACTTTCTTGCCACTTTTTCCTCAGTATTAATGATTAAGGCACAGATACTTCAACATAGGTAAATCATTCCTACCTGAAAATGAACTCCCGACGTCTCTATAATTTTTGGTGCATTCCTGTAAATATAATAAATATCTTACCATCTTTTTAAAGAGGATAAAACAGAGGATATTTACCAATTTCATACTCATATTTTGGAAATACATTCTTCTTCATTAACAGAGTAACTCAGAATATAATTAGGAGCATACGCCATGTGAAATCCATGTGCTACTATTAAATTTAATATTGCTTTTTTTTGAATGCACAATATGCCACTAGATCAACCACAGATTTCTTCCAGCAATTCCCAGCTAGGCTAACCACATGTTGCACTTATACAGCCATTCAGCAGAAAGGTCTGGTGTGACTCCTCACTTTTAACCAAGCAAAATCCAGCCTATAAATCCAGGCTTGTTCATTTGGCACTGAATAGAAAAGTCTATTTTGTGCAGCAGTGTTAAGTTAAAAAAAAATCGCAAATAAAACAGAAAAGGATAGTGCTATCCCAGTTGGATTTTTTTTAAAAAAAAAGAGCCCTGCAATTATATTCTCCTCCAAGAGGATTTTCAGTGACACTAAGAGCTCTACTTATCTGTACAGACTATTTTGATAATTAGGCCCTCTTAACTACTATCTCCACAGTAGGGCATTGGTCTGTAGTGTGTAGTTGGCAGTTTTTCTTATCCTGTAGTCTAAAGATGCTTATCATGATGTGAACTAGACCTGCAACTATCATAAGTCAATTTTAGACAACATAAGGACGAGTTTTCACAAAAGCTAAACCCGCCAGACTTAATGTGTGAAAATCATGGCAATGCTGTGAGAAATATATACTCAGATTCACAACATGAAGATAAGCAGCATTATCATCCATAATAGCTGTTATGGAAAGATACATTTCAGACAGTAATTACTTGTTGCTGGTATAGAGAACAGCCAACTGATGCACTACATTCACCACCACTTCATAACAACGGGTAACAAAGCAAGACAGCTCCTGAAAGACAAAGAACACAATAAAATAAAATGCATATGTATGTGTAGACCTCATCACATACACTATTGGTAAAACGTGGAGTGTAAATCCCTGACCTTGTAGCCCAAGCTCCAAGTATCTTTCCTAATTCAAGTCAGTAGTCAGACCCACAGCAGGATGTTGGGCATTATCCTGGACACTGCTCTAAAAAGTTTTTGGAGATACAACTAAGAAGCAACTGAATAAAAACTCTCAGTAAAACGTGTATTAAAAAGGGATGAATATGCAGCATGGTCATATAAATAGAAGGAAGACAGAACTGATTTCACAGCTGCAAAGAGCTTTAGCAAATTAGATACTGAAATACCACCTTTGATACTCAAGACCTTAGTTTTGTAAAAGGATATTGAATCTTTGGAGAAAGTACAGGCAAAAGCCACCATGAGAAGATCCAATAGGCTTAAAAGCTTTTACAGCAAGATATTTCAAGAGTTCACTTTACTAAAGACATTAAGAGGTGACTCTACAACAGTTTGCAAGTACCTTTGGAGTGTAAAC